CTCCATGGAAAGTATCATGCTAAGCGAAATGAGTCCGAAAGAGAGGGACAGAGAGAGAAAGATTGCATTCATCTGGGGAACATAAAATAACCAAATAGGAGACTGACACCCAACAATAGCCGTTTTGATTTTTTTTTTATTTCTTTTTGTGCTTGGGTTTCAGTTATACAATGATCAGATACCCATCCCTCCACCAGTGCCCGTTTTTCACCACCATGGATAATATCCCTCCCCCCCACCCCCCCATCGTTTTGATTTCTAACCCCTCTTCAACCCTAACAAAAGGCTCAACTGGGCCACCCCTGCTGCCCCTGCCCTGGGCCACTCCAGGCTCTGTTCTCTCCCTTGGCAGCTGCTCCCGCTGCTAGATAAGCTCTTCCCGGGCATGTCGGTGGAGGAGGTGCGCAAAACCAAGGTGTGCCAACTGGCCCAGCAGCAGCTGAAGCAGAAGCTGGAGGACAGCGAGCAGAACAGCCTCCCGCAGAGCATCCTAGGGTGAGCTGGGGGGCGGGGGGAGGGGGCGCGCGGCTTCCTCGGGGCTCCGGCTGTCCGCTGCCAGCACTTGACCGGGCGTTCTGGGCCCCCCACTTGGCAGGAAGCTCCGGGAACAGGAGCTCGAGCATCAGAAGGTCCAAGACGCAGAGCAGCAGCAAGACCTTCCGCCGGAGGCCCCTGAAGTGATGAAGTCCACGCCGCAGGTCTCCAGGGTGGAGCCAAGAGTCCCCCGCAAGAAGGTGAGTGTGCCAAACACTGGGGCTGGGGGAGGCGTGGAGGTCTGGGGTGCAGCACCCCAAACCCAACCAGAGTTGAGGGTCACGGGAAGGCTGGCGCTGACCCTCACAGCTGCCTTCCCGAACCCCGCCCACACTCACCTTCACGAATGTGGGTGTGTATGAAACGTGGGTGTGTGCTCTACGTGCACTCTTTTGTTTTGTTTTGTTTTGGGGCCTCAACTGGTGATACTCAGGGGTTACTCCTGGCTCTGGCTCTGCACTAAGGAGCTATTTCTGGCAGCACTCAGGGGACCCTATGGGATGCTGGGGATCAAACCTGGGTTGGTCACCTGCAAGGGGAGCACCATACCCTCTTGTACTATTGCTCCGAGCCAGAGATACATAAGAGGACATAATCTCTTTGTGTGTGTGTGTGTGTGTGTGTGTGTGTGTGTGTGTGTGTGTCTGGAGGTCATACTCCTTTAACCAGTGGTGCTCAGGGCTTATTCCTGGCTGTGTGCTCAGGGATCACTCCTGGCAGGGCTTGGGGGACCATATGCAGTGTCAGGAATCAATTCCAGGTCAGCTGCATTGAAGGCAAGTGCCCTACTCATTGTACTGTCTCTTTGGTCACTACTCTCAATTATAAAAAAAATAAAAATAAAAACAAAATGGTACTGTGGGGTCCAGAGAGGACGGTAATGGGAGAAATAAGGAGCTTTGCCTGCACCTGGTCCAACCCTGCTTTGATTACCAGCACCGCATACCAGGCCCTGGTCTTGAAGAACCACAGAGTCCAGAGCTCTCTGGGCCTCCTTCACTGCTGGCACAGGCAAGCAGCGGGGTCACCCGCCTGTCCTTAGCCGCCTGGCCAGCCTGCCCTCCCTCCGTCTCCCTCTCCTGCTCTGTCCCCTCGGAAGGCCCCGGCCCACCCTGCCTCTGCAGCTCTGTCTGCTCCCCACACACTGTCATGCCCTCAGCTGTCAGGAGTCCTGCAGGTGGGTCGCACCCGGGTCTCCAGGGCTCCACTCAGGCTACAGAGGCGCCAGTAAGTGGGTCCTGCAGTTACTGTCACTGTCCTCCCATTGTTCATCGATTTGCTCGAGCGGGCCCAGTAACGTCTCCATTGTGACACGTGTTACTGTGTTTGGCATATTGAATACATCACGGGTAGCTTGCCAGGCTTTGCCGTGCGGGCGAGATACTCTCAGTAGCTTGCCGGGCTCTCCGAGAGGGGCAGAGGAATCGAACCTGGGTCGGCCGGGTCGGCCAGATGCAAGGCAAATGCCCTACCTGCTGTGCTGTTGCTCCAGCCCTGCAGTGGAGAGGATAAAATGGGCTGAGACCCGCAGGGCAAAGAGCCCCGAAAGCGCACACTGTGGCTGCCAGAGCCCACCTACACCGGAACTGATGTGCATTCAGTCCAGAGGAAACTGAGGCCTGAGCCTCCGGCCATCACCCCTCCTCGCCTCCCCAGCCTCAGTCCTCAGCGAGCCCCTTCAGGCATCCTCAGCTTAGAAGAACAGCCACCCAGTGTGTGTGTGTGGGGGGGGGGGAGCGGGGTCCCCAGCCCCGTGGGCCCCCAGAGCCTGGGAGTGGCAGTTTTTTTTCCCACCCTAGGAGAAGAAGAGGAGGCCGGCGCCGAAAAACAAGGAGTCCTCGTCCAACAGCTACCTGGACTCCACCTTCTCAGGCCCCATCTTGGCCAGTAAGTTCCCAGTGCTCTGACCCAATGTTGGGGACCCAAAGCAGTAGAGCGGGCGAAGGTCACGGTCAGGGACTCTCAAGGAAATGCCTGCAACCAGCTGAGGGGGGCTCAGGGCTCCGGGGATGCCACTTCCCCTGCGGGGCTGGCGGCCCTTTCTCGCTGCCCTCTCGGCCTCTCCCTGCTGCCAGCCAACCCCCCTGAGCGCATGTCCCAGGGCTTTCACCAGTTGGCAGGAGACAGAAGGGACAAGTCCCAGAATGCAGCCCCAGCGTGCCCAGGCAGGTGTGAGGCAGGAACCCCTGATAGGATGGGGTTGGGGGGCCAGAGCTGGGGGCTCTGACAAGAGGAGGCCCACAGGAAACAGGTAAGAAACACAGTGTGGGGGCTGGAGCAATAGCACAGCGGGTAGGGCATTTGCCTTGCACGTGGCCGACCCGGGTTCGAATCCCAGCATCCCATACGGTCCCCTGAGCACCATCAGGGGTAATGAGCCAGGAGTAACCCCTGTGCACTGCCAGGTGTAACCCAAAAAGAAAAAAAAAAAAAAAGACTGGGGGCTTCCAGTGGTATGGAGGTCCCAGAAAGCTGTGGGTCAATTAAGCCCCTTAAGGGGGTGTTCAGGACACCCACAAAGTGGGCCAGGGACATGCTTGCAGGAGGGGCTGTGGTAGAGGCGGAGCCAGGCCTGGATGGGCGGGGCCAGGGCTGGGTGGGCGGGGTCTCTTGGGACCGCCTTCCCTTCAGGCCTAGGGGAGGCGGAGCTCCGGGAGGCCCCGCCCATAGGGCGCCGGTCCTTGGCCAGAGCTGTCCAGGCCCTGTGGTCTGATCGCTGCTCCCCATCTGTCATTCCTAGTCAGTACCGGGACGTCCCCAGAAACTTCGGAGACGTCCACCGTCTGCTGGGACTACAAGAGCACCTCAACCACAGGAATATCCAACTCCTCGGTGAAGGCCATTCAGTCCTCAGACATGGAGGACCAGAGTCACAGCCCCCAAAAAACCAAGGGCCAGAGACAGGCTCCCAGCAAGACCAAGGCCCTCCAGGCCCAGAACCAGCATCCCTGCAAGACCCCGGAGGCCCAGGGCTGGAGCCCGAGGCCCACCGGCAGCGAGGAGGCTACCCAGGAGCCAAAGCAGAAGCACAGGAGCAGGGCGGCGCAGGGCACCAGGCAGCGGTTCCGAAAGGTCAGGGCTGTCCAGGACTGGGGCTGGCGACTGATCCGAGGGCCCCCCAAGCGCAAATTTCTCCAGGATCCAGCTTTGAACCCTGATAGCAAAGTCAGCCCGAGCCAGAGTCCCGGAGACACTGACGTCGCAGAGGAACATACCCAGCGCCCCATCAAGATCAAGGTCACCTACAGCTGCACCGTGAGTCCTGGCAAGATCGAAATTGCCCCGAGCCACAGCCAGAATCCTGGCAAGCTTGAGGCCACCCAGAGCCACGGATCCAGTCTCAGCAAGCTCGAGACTTCTCAGAACCACAGCCAGAGTGACAGCAAGATCCAGGCGACCCCAGAGGAGAACCCGATTCCCAGTAAGAACGAGGGCTCTCAGGACCAGAGTCGGAACCCTAGCAAGACGGATGCCACCCAGGGCTTCAGCCGGAGTCCCTCCAGGCCCAAGGTCACCCAGAACCAGAGCCCAAGTCCCACCAAGTCCAAGGTCACCCGGAGCCCGAGTCCCACCAAGGCCAAGGGCTACCGGAGCCCAAGTCCCAAGGCCAAGGGCCACCGGAGCCCAAGTCCAACCAAGGCCAAGGGCAACCGGAGCCCGAGCCCTAGCAAGTCCAAGGGCCACCGGAGCCCAAGTCCCACGAAGGCCAAGGGCAACCGGAGCCCGAGCCCTAGCAAGTCCAAGGTCATCCAGAACCAAAGTTGGAGTCCCACCAAGACCAAGATCACTCGGAACCAGAGCCCGAGCCCCAGCAAGTCCAGAGTCACCTGGAGCCTCAGTCCCACCAAGTCCAAGGGCACCCGGAGCCGGAGCCCGAGTCCCAGCAAGACCACGAATAGCAACGGGCACGGCCAATGTCCCAGAACGACTGAGGTCAAGGGTCACAACCGGAGTCGCGGCAAGACCAAGGTCGCCCGGAACCTCAGCCGGCAGTAACAGCACCTTCCACGGGAACCACAGAGCCCCCTGCCTCTGGCTGGTGCCGGGGAGACTGCACCCCCACAAACACAGGGTGCCCAGCCAAACAGCCTCCTTCCAGAGCTATCAAAAACCTCAGCCGACACTCCTCTGGTCTCATCGCTATGTTTATTGTGTGTCGTTTTACAAAATTAAAAAATCTGAAAGCCAGACCCCACTGGCAGCTTGAGTCCTTCCACCCGTGGGGAACGAGAATCGAATCCCCAGCACAGCTGGACAATCCTGGGGTATGGGGTTTGGCACGGGGGCTCAAGGGGCCAGAAGTAATGGGTGAGCACATTCCCCTGTCCCTGAGTGACAATTCACAGTTCAGAAGGCCAGCCTGGAAGGGGAGGTCAGGACTTCCCGTGTGGGGAAGGACGCCGAGGCCAGTAAGGCCAGGGAAGGAGCCAGGGCCTGCCCGGCCAACACTCAACGTCACGGTGCCCCTCCAAGAGGCCCCAGAGTGGCCTGGCCTGGGGAGGAGGGGGCCCTGGCACGTCAGAGGAAGAAGGTGAGGCGGGAGGCTACCAGTTTGCAGCCATTGGAGGCAAAGAGCTGTTCTTCCTCAGGGAAGAAGGTGGTGCTGTCCAGCACGGCCTGGACCACGTCCTCTCTCGGCTCCAGGCCCAGCTGGTCCAGCTCGTTGAACACGCAGTGGCGCACGTGGTGCCTCTGGAGTGGCAGGAAGGGCACCAGCGTGTCCAGGAGCTGCTCCTCCAGGATGCCGGAGCGCCAGAAGCCGTCTGCGGGGGGCCGAGAGGGGGGCCCTGAGCAGCTGGCCTGGCGCAGGCCGGGCTCGGGGAGACCCCGGGAGAGATGGGGGCGCTGGCACCAGAACCAAGGCCCGGGGCTGTGGGTAGAGCAGCCGCCCCCCACCCCACCTAAAGCGGAACCCAGGGGCATGGGGAGAGGCCCCCGGGTGGGGTCCCCTGGCCCACTCACGGTGGGGGTTGTCCAGCACGGCCTGAGAGATGAGGGGCGCCAGCTCTTGCAGGCGGATCTCCTCGCGGTCCCGGCGGTTGCGCCATGCCTCCAGAACCACCTGGTTGATCTGCTCACTGCCAGCATTGCTAGAATCACAGGGACCCGGACCAGACTCAGACGGGGGGAGGTGGGGCCCTCACAGCCCGCCTGCCACCCGATGCAACTGAAGCGGGGGGGAGGGGGGACTCCTGTTGGCAGGAGCCAGAGCTGGAACGCTCCCAGTACCAGTCCCCACTCCCCCTGTCGGAACTGGGAGTCCACACCCACGGCCCCCAGACAGTCACCCCCATGGGTCACATGTATTTCAGTTGACAGGACACTCCTGGGCCCCTTCACGATTTTCCCTCACCCAGTCTCTAGGACCGCCTGGCCCAAAGTGAGTGACAGCGATCCCCGGGGTAGGGGAGGGGCCAAGCAGAACAGCCCAGAGTGCAAACTTGGGGTGGGGGGGGAGGCACTTTCCACTGGCCCCAGTAAAAGAAGCCGGTTTGCAGGGAAGTCCACAAAGTATGCCGACCTCTGCCAAGAGGTCACGGAGTCCTGGGTTGACCTCATCAAGCAGAAGTTGCTGGGGGTCACAGCGGGAAAGTGGTTTGCTCAGACAGGTCTAGAATCCTGTCCTAATTCACCCACATCCTCCCAGCCACAAAAGGACCAAGCAGGGGCTTCCGGAAAGAAATGATGGGGCGCACAGAGATGGGACTAGGAGGGAATCAAGGCTAGGGCAGGTCCAACTCCCCAAATTAACTGTCTCCAGAGCAGGGGTGAGAGACTGGAGGGAAGCAGAACGGGCTCAGTGTGTGTGTGTGTGTGTGAGGGGAACCGTATGCCGCCACGGGGGCAGCTCAGACCTCAGCCCGCTCCCCCCTGCCCCGCTGCAAAGCCGGACCCCACCTGATGAAGATGAAGATGGCTTTGCGATAGTTGGTCCCGTACACAACCCACGAGGGTCCCAGGAAGGGTCTCAAGACCTCCATCAGGCCCGGGGCCAGCTCGTCCATCTCATCGAACAGGAAGAGGGAGCGGCCGCAGGCAGTGAGGTTCCCTTGAACCCAGTTCTTAAGATCCTTCTGCAGGGGAGAGGCAGGAGGTTCAAGGGGGCCTGGAGCTTCGCCGCCCTCCCCTCCCCTCCCCCCCCTCCGCCTTCCTCCCAAAGCAAGGACTGGTCCCCTTCCCAGCACCCGGCACTTACTACTGGTGGCCTCGAGAGGGGCAGAGGCTTGTCCAAGGTCATACAGCAGGTCGGCGGGAGAAGCGGGGCTCAAACCCAGGCCTTGGCCTTCCCTGACAACCCCACCGCTTCGACAAAGGGACAAGGTGGTGACCTGGTCCCCACGCGGCCAGCAGTCCTGCCAGCTGCAGGCAGCAGGCTCCCGCCTCAACGATCTGCAATGGCAGGCGCCCACCCTGAGCCCCTGGCTGGACAGAAGGAAGACTGCAGGCGAGTAGTACCCCAAGATGCGCACAGCCGCCCCGCCTCCAGTGCAGGGACCATTCGGGTCCCTCCACTGCCACCTTCCCAGCCAACCCCCAGGAACCGAAGGAAGACAGATCCCTGGCAGGTAGGTCTGGCTCTGCACCGGATGAGGCTCCAACTGGCTGTGTGGCCTTGAAGCAAGTGACTACCCCTCTCTGGGCTCGGGGCTCAGTCCCCAAGGAGGGTCGGGCACCCCCTGGTTCCCCAGACCCCACCCTCGCACCCCCACCCGCCCCGCCTACCTTGTAGCGGTCCATATGGCTGGGGTGGGGGAAGTGGATGCGAGGGGAGAAGTGGTGCACGTGGGGGCTGTGCAGGCCCCCCCGGAAGAGGTAGCGTGCCAGCAGGGTACTGACCAGGGACTTGCCGGTGCCCGAGCCGCCGTGCAGGGAGAGGACCAGCGGCTTGGCGGGCGCCGGGTCCTGCACGAAGGCCCGCAGCGCCTTCCCCACCAGCGCCCTGGCCAAGGGCTGGCCGGCCAGGTGCTGCGCCAGGTCACACTCCAGACCTAGGGCCACAGGGAGGACCGGTCAGCGCGCCGGGAACCGGGCCGGGGGCGCATCATCCCGGGACGGCTGCTGAAAGCTGTCGGGGACAGGGGGGCGGAAAGCAGGCGACGACCGGCCACGTGCACGCCGGGCTCGGCTCGGCAGCGCCCCCACCAGGCGCCGCTCGGCGTGGCACCCAGTGGGCACGCGCCGGCTGTCAGTGGGGGCGCCCCCCGGCGCGTGTCCCGACGCCTGAGCCCACCCACCCGCAAGGCTCCGCACTCCCGGGCCTCCCCTCCTCCGGGCGGGGCCTGGTCCGGGCCCCCCCGCCCCCCACAACAGCCTCAGCCCCCGGCCCCAGCACCGCGTCCAGGCTCTCCCGGCCCCTCCACGCCGGGCCCACTTCCGGTCCCGGTGTCGGAAGTCGGAGGGGCCAGTCCCGCCGGGGAGGGTCCCGCCCCCCAGTGCCACCCTCGGGGGTTCGGCTCCGGATCCTGCCCCGGCCCGGGGTTCGAGCGCGCCCGGATCCCGCCGCCGCTCCTCCTCACCCGGCAGGTCGGGCCGGAAGTCACATTCGCAGAAGGCGCCGAAGCTGCAGCGCAGCGAAGCCACGTTCCAGGAGGCGGCCCCGACCGAGGCCGAGACCAGCCCGAGGAGCCCGAGGAACGAGCCCCACGGCCGGCGGCCGCCCGTCGCAGCCGCCATCCGTGTGCGGCCCGAGCTCGGTCGGGGGCGGGCGGCCGGTCCTCCCGGAAACTACGATTCCCGGCATGCACCGCCCCGCGGAGGCCTGGGCTGTGGCCTACAACTCCCAGCATCCCTTTCGCTCCTCGCGGAGGACCGCCCCCTCGTCATCCCGCTGCAGGATCCGGGGGTGGCCTCTCGGGGGCGCCCGCGAGCCGTCTCACCCCCCTCCTCCCCGCCCCCGGGGTGCGGGTCGCGTTTCCATGGCCACGGTAACCAAGGGACCATCGGGGTAGCAAGCAATTAATGAAGGATTCTGACCATCAAGGGTGACCTCACAGTTGTAGAGAAACGGAGTGGGCACTTTACACCTTTGCAAGGTGTCTTCCGTCCTCGTTTTCGTTTTGGTTTTGGAGCCACACCCGGTGGTGCTCAAGGCTTACTCCAGGCAGGGTTGGGGCGTCATATGTGATGCCCGAGACTGAATCCCGGTCAGCTGCAAGCAAGGCAAACTGCACCCCTTTTTCATGCACTTTTTTCTTTTGTATAATAAATAAATACTCACCTACCCGTTAAGGATAACACTGCAGCACTGTCCTCCCATTGTTCATAGATTTGCTGGAGCTGGCCCAGTAACATCTCCATCGGGACACTTGTTACTGTGTTTGGCATATTGTATATGTCACAGGTAGCTTGCCAGGCTTTGCCTTGTGGGCAAGATACTCTCGGTAGCTTGCCAGGCTCTCCAAGAGGGGCGGAGGAATCGAACCTGGGCCAACTTGGTCGGCCGTGTGCAAGGCAAACACCCTACCCGCTGTGCTATCGCTCCAGCCCACCATTAAGGATAAGTATCATTAATGCCTTCTTTAAGATAATTGTCATGGCCAGCTGCACATGCTAGGGGGAAAGGCAGCTAACACTCCATATGGTCCCCTGAGGAGCACACAAGGAGTGATTCCTGAGTGCAGAGCCAGGAGAAAGCCCTGAGTACTTCCGGATATGATCCCAAAACCAAAATATCAAAATTAAAAAACAGGGGCTGGAGCGATAGCACAGCGGGTAGGCCATTTGCCTTGCACGCAGCCGACCCAGGTTCAATCCCCGGCATCCCATATGGTTCCCCAAGCACTGCCAGGAGTAATTTCTGAATGCAGAGCCAGAAGTAAAGGAATAACCCCTGAATATCGCTGGGTGTGATCCCCAAAAAAAAGTAAAAAAATTTAAAGGGCCAGAAAGAGAGGGGATATGCATGCAGCCAACCTTAGTTCAATCTCTGCCACCACGTATCATCCCCAAACCACCGCCAGGAGTGACCCCTGAGAACGGCTGGGATTTGGGAGTGGCCCAAACACCCAGAAATAATGACCCAGACAGTGGATGGACAAAGGCTAATGAAACAAGTCCTTAGACTGACAACAGAATTGAAGTTACGAAGTGGGGTGACACAGGGCGATCTGTACCTAGGGACAGACATTTTGCAGTTGGTGGTGGTGATGGGACAGAAAAGTCGTATGCCAAAAGTGTGAACATTGGGACCAGAGAGAGTACAGCAGGTAAGGCACAAGCCTTGCACACATCCAAATCAGGTTCGATCTCCAGCCCTCCATAGGGTCCCCCAAGCTGCCAGGAGTGATTCCTGAGCACAGAGCCAGGAGTCAGACCTGAACACCACTGAATGTGGCCCCAAACACATACACAAAGGCCCCTCCATCCCCTGCACATTCAGGAACCCCTCGTCCATGGCCGCACCAGCAGGGAGGCAGAGAGAGACAAGCCACTAAGTTTCTCTGCCACCAGCTAGAGGTGGCCGTTTCTGTCTCCCAGTTCGTCCATCCGGGAGGCACCGGGTTTTTCATACGCGAGGTAAATGTGTCACTGCTGGAACAGTCTGGAACGTTTTATTTTTAGCCTTTTGGGTCACACCCAGCCATGCACAGGAGTTTCTCCTGGCTCTGCACTCAGAAATTACTCCTAGCGCTGTTCAGGGGACCCTATGGGATGCTGGGGATCGAACCCAGGTCGGCCGCGTGCAAGGCAAACGCCCTCCCCGCTGTGCTATTGCTCCAGCCCCACAGTCTGGATCATTTTACAGACTAAATCAGCATTACGGAAGGAAGATTTCCACCTTCCACCCAAGAAAAGGGGCCCCTTTCCCCGCCCAAACCCCACGAGGAGCAGAAAAAAAAACACAAAGAGTCATAAAAGTTTATTCTATGAAAGAAATGGCAGGAGCTCTGTACATCAATTTACAGGACAAACGTATGTACACCCGCGTGGAAACCTAGAGGGGGCGTAACTGGGGAGCCCCCCCAGGGTACCTTGGCGGCAGGCAGGGACAAGGGACAGGGACACAAAGGAGCTGGAGGGGATGTGCCGGCCGGGGGGATGAGGCAGGTGGGACAGAGCCCAGAGCCCCCCCGAGCTGCACGGAAGAGGCTGGAACTGTGCCCAGCACATCCCCAGGCTGATGGCGTGGGGGTGGGGACCCTCCCTGGAGCTGCACCTGGGGTCAGAGCTCGCTGGAGCGGACGGCGGGCTCGAGCTTGTGGGACAGGGCCGTGAGCACCTTCTCGAACTTCTCGTAGCGCCGGGCCTGGCTGCTGGCGGCGCCTTGGCTACCCCACAGAAGGCGCATCTGGAACTCGGTGCTGAAGACCTCCAGCAGCTCGGGCCGTGCCTGAAATCCTGAGGACAGGCACGGGAGGTCAGGGCGCCGCCAGGCGAGGTTGACACGGCTCCTGTCCCCCACAACCTACCCCCCACACCCTCTCCTGTCCCTCCCCCACCCACACAAGCACCCGGGAGGTGTGTGGCTGCTTGCTTGTGACCCTGTGTGACAAATGATTTCTAAGTAATGAGACGAGAGGGGGCTGGAGCGATAGCACAGCGGGGAGGGCGTTTGCCTTGCACGTGGCCAACCCGGGTTCGATTCCCAGCATCCCATATGGTCCCCTGAGCACCGCCAGGGGTAATTCCTGAGTGCAGAGCCAGGAGTGACCCCTGTGCACTGCCAGGTGTGACCCAAAAATAAAATAAATAAATAAATAAATAATGAGATGAGAAAATGTTCATGATCATGGGAGGGAATCCTGTGAGAATTCCCTTTTTTAAAAAAGAATTAATTTTGTTTAATTTTTTTCATTTTTTCTGAAAATTCTTTTTTTCTTTTTCTTTTTCTTTTTTTTTCTTTTTGGGTCACACCTGGCGATGCACAGGGGTTTACTCCTGGCTCATGCACTCAGGAGTTACTCCTGGTGGTGCTCAGGGGAACCATATGGGATACTGGGGATTGAACCCGGGTCGGCCATGTGCAAGGCAAACGCCCTACCCGCTGTGCTATTGCTCCAGCTCCTTTCTTTCTGTTTTTGGACAACACCCAACAGTGCTTAGGGTTTACTCCTGGCTCTGTGCTCAGGGATCACTCCTGCTGGGCCTTAGGGGACCACATGGGGTGCTGGGGATCGAACCCAGGTCAGCCGCATTCAAGGCAAGCGCCCTCCCTGGTGCATCATCTTTCCAGCCCCAAGTTCTTTCTTCCCCCCTGCTAAGGAACATAAGCGGTATATTTGGGAAGGGGTTTGGGTGCTGGGGGCTACTCCCAGGGTACACAGGTCTCCCTACAAAGCACATATCAGGCTCTTGGGACATTCTCCCCGGCCTTGTGGGTGATTTGTGTAATTTCCAAGTGTATCTACGATGAGTATTTGTGACTCCAACCATGCTAAAGCAGTAAAAGATGGAGCTCAGCCCCTGAGCCAGAGGCCCCGGGCTTTGCAAACAGCCTTGGAAAGGCCGGGTCACACGCCCACTGTGCAGATGGGACAGCTGAGGCCTGCAGAAGAAGCTGAGGGCGCATAACTTCCATGAGCCCCATCCCACTGCTCAGCTGGTTACAAACTGCCTGATGGAAGGGAGGTGCAGGAAGCTCAGGCAGAAGGTTCTGGAGGGGGGCAGGAGATGGTTCGGGGCAGGCTGGGAGGGGCAGGAGGGCCCGAGGCCCACAACTCACCCTGCAGCTTAGCCTCGGCATTGGTGTGGTACAGGCCTCCGTGCTGGGCCACGGTGCGAGCGGCCTCCAGATGGGCCAGCACCACCTCCACTCCGTGCTCCGTGCTCCCCCAGGGCTCGGGACCCTCGGCTGGCGCCGAGTCGCACTCCAGCAGCGTGATGAGGGGCAGCACATGCGGGAACGTGGTGTTGCTCAGCGGGGGGCCTTCTGCAGGAGGGGGGCAATCCTGAGGGACAGGCCTCCCCCAGAGGCTCCCCGAGGTCCCCACCAGGCTCATGAGCCCCCAGACGCCCCCTTCCTTTGGGGTTCCTCCCGCCCCGCCCCGAGCTCCCTTGCTGCCTAGACACTCCACCCAGGGACTGCAGTGGCCCAGAGAGGGCGGGACCCTGCCCGCGGTCACACAGCAACGGGGGGGATGGCGCTACCTTTGCCCTCGTTGAGGCTCTTGAGGAAGGGCTTGAGCTTCTTCTCATAGAGGATGGCCCCCTCCGTGTGTCGCTGCCGCAGCGTCACCCACGTCTGCTCCAGCCGAGCAATCTAAAGGGGGAAATAGACTTGAGCCAGCAGCTGGGACGGGCCTGGAGGGACGGGTGGGGATGACCGCGGCTCTCACCCGATGATGCACCCGGTGTCTGAGGGAACCCCAGCTCAGAGAGGGCAAGGCCTGGGGCTCAGGCCACAGAACCATGAAGCTCATCCTGACTCCGGGTACCAGTCACCCTCCCCCACCCCAGGGTCACGACCCAGGGCTTGCTTTCGGTTCGACCTGGGCCCCCTCAATACCTGGGCCATGTCCAGGGCGCCCATGACCGCGGCGAAACTGAACATGTTGCCCATGGTGCCCCTGAGCTCCGCCGCCAGCTGGATGGTCTTGTGCAGAAGCGCGGCCCGCTCCTCGGCGGAGCCCGTGCAGCCCAGGATGTCCACGGCCAGCATGATGGACATGGTGTGGAACCTGTAAGGATGCAGGGCCCAGGATGCAGGATGCAGGATGCAGGGTGAGGGCTCGGGCGGGGGGCGGGGCCCGAAGAGGGATCAGCAGTTGAGGGCGTGGCCCGAGAGGGCGGGCCAGCCAGGTCGGGGCTTTTGATTGGCCCGTATAATTAGGGGGCGTGGCCAGCTCGCCCAGCTGAGAGGCTTGTGGTACTTAGGCTTGGAATTCCGAGGAAGAGCTCGAGTGACAGAGAAGGACAGAAACCAGAGCCGCTGAGCGCAACCCAACTTGGACTCTGACTGGTCAGGGGATGCAAATGTTGAATCCTTTAGAGGGAGAAAGGATTTCGAACTTGGGCTGAATCAGGAACGACTGCATGGAGCTGGATAAATGAGAAGCTGCTATTGGTCAGCGGTGCAGGGGGCGTGCCCAGGACCCGGAGTTGGGACTGTGATTGGCCAACCGGGCACAGCAAAGGGGGAGCGAGGCAGCCCTGGGGTTCCCCCGAGAGGCCCCTTGGGGCCCTTCTTGCCTTACCTTTCCAGCAGGTCTAGTCGAAGCTGCCGGCCATGGGGGAGGGTGAGCAGCTCCGTGCCCCAGCGGACTCCCATTAGGGTCTGCATCTCCTTGGTAACACCCAGTATCCTAGCAACCTGCAAGGACGCCCAGAGGGCTGATTAATTTCCTGTCCTGGCTGGCCCTAGCCGGCTGAGAGTCACAGAGCTCCATCTAGCAGGGACGCTTGACTGGGAGGCCGGATGTGAATTCTCAGCGCCGCTAAGCTCCAGACACTGAGGGAAGGAACCTCATTTTTCCCATCTGTGCAGTGGGATGAATGGAGATCATGGAAAGACGCCTGACACGTGGCATATTAAGGTAAGGTCAAGGACCCTACTAGGGGGCCCTTATTCCAGGACGTGAGCCTAAAACCCCAAGGAGTGGAGCACTTGACAAAGATCACCCTGAGTATAGACCCCAAGGGTCATACCCTTCATGCCTGCGCTTTCTTTGCTCTTGGAGGTTGGCAGCCACTGCCACCAAGGAATTAGTACCCCCTTTCCCCCCCCAAAAAAAATGCAATGTGAAGCCTGGAGAGTATTAGGGTTCTTCTGTGCTTAGAAAAGCAAAAGACGGTGTTTTGGCCCTGGTCCAGGTAATGACTTTTGCTTTTGTCCAGCAGGGGGCGTGAGGGAGGTTAGTCCACCTGTCCAGCAAGACAAGACACATTTCTCCAAACCGCCAGACCCTGCTGGATTTGAGACTGCCAGCGTGTGTGTGCCGCACCGACACCTGGAAGAATGGAGAATATTTGGGGGAGGGGCCAGCGAGATAGCATAGTGGGCAGGGTGCTAGTCTTGCATGAAACCAACCAGGATTCAACCCCTGGGGTTCTATCTGGCCCCCCAAGCACCCCCAGGAGTGAACCCTAAACACTGCTGGCTCTGATCCAAAAACAAACAAATAAACAAATACATTAGGGGGAGTTGGTTTTTTTCCCTTAATTATTTATCTTCTTGTTGTTTGGGGGCAACCCCTGGCAATCTCGGGGCATACTCCTGGCTCTGTGCTCGGGTTCCTGGCAGGGCTGCCAGCAATCAAACCTGCAAGACAAATGCCCTACCCACTGTACTACCGCTCCAGCCCCTTTCCTTCATTTTTTAAAAGGGGTAGAAATAAATATACCGTGGGAGAGGAGCTTGTCTTGCACACGGTCAACCTGTTTGATCCTGGGCACCACATCTGATCCCTGAGCGCCATCAGGAGTGACTGAATCTGAGCACTGCCAGGTGTGGCCCCCAAACAAAAAAAAAGGGGGGGGTAAATGAAGGTCCAGAGAGGCAAGTGAAGCCAGGCTGCAGACCCACTCACTCTACCTGGAGCATTCAGGCCCGATCCCTTCCCAGCCCTGATCGAGTCCCCAGATCAGAGAGCACTGTGCCCGGCTCGCTCCCGGCCCACGGTGCACCCCACCTACCAGGCAGTCAACCTTGGTGACGTGCCGGGCCAGCGTCCGGGCGTCCACCTCGGCCAGCAGCTCCTTGACCTTGCGCAGAAGGCCCACCTCCAGGGGCCGGTTCTCCTTGGGGATCAGAAGAGACTGGAAGGAGGCTGGGTTGAAGGAGGAGGCAGCCTCCACCACGGGCGCCGTGAAGGTCCGGCCCCAGTCCCCCTCGGGGGCCCCGTTTTCTGACAGTTCCTTTAGCCTCTCCCCGTAGCTCCGGGCCTGCCGGCTGGGGGTCTCTGACGCCGACCACTCTCGGCTGCTGCGGACGGGGGGCTGCAGCTGGCAGTAATGGCCTGAGTCTGGGTCGCTGTAGCTGCTGAGTGACGGTGAGGGGGAGGCTTTGCCGAGGGTGTGGGAGGGGCTGGCGTGAGAGCCCTTGTCCAATTCCCCAGGGGGCTTTGGGGCACTTCCGGAACACAGCTGGGGTTCACTGGAGCGGCGGGCGACAGGAGAGGCGGGGTGCGCGGTGGCGGAGGGGGTCGCAGGGGCCGCGTGAATGCGGGTCACTGGGGAAAGAGGGGCAGAAGATGAGCGAACAGCCACTGACATCTCCCTGAGCCCCGACAGACAGGCTCCAGCTACCCTCCGAAGGGGCAGCCCCTGCCCTGTTCCCCCCCTCCCCCCCCTCGTCCCCACCAGCACTGGGCCAGGCCTAGGCCTGGGACTCGGTCACCTGAGCCCAGGGTTTTGCACGTGGCTGCCTGGCAGCTTGGCCGCAGCCTGGGGAAAGCTCAGAGGAGCCTTCTGGCAGGTCAGGGACACTTAAACCCTGGCGGAGTTTCCCTGTGCCACGCGCAAGGGCTCCTGGGGAATTGTGATTGTGATGTATGACACGGCCCACGAGTCAGCCACAGGACAGCCCGCCTGCCCCCTCCACCCCCCAGCCAGAGGTGATGTTTATCAAAGCTTCCTTTGTGCGCGAGCCCACGAGTCCCTCCAGGGACTTTTAGGATCAGGACTTTTAGGATCCTGCATCTCCGCTTGGAGAGGGGAGTGGTTCCTGGCAGTCACCCAGCCGGCCAGCCAGGCTTCAAGCTGGGATTGAAACCCAGGGATGGGGGGAGGGGACGGAGTGGGAGAGCCATGGTACAGTGGGGAGGGCGTTTGCCTTGCACGCGGCTGACCCGACCCGGGTAGGATCCCTGGCATCTCATATGGTGCCCCTGGGCATGGGTGTACCCCAAAAAGCCAAAAATAAATAAGAAAATAAATAAAAGCAGGCATCAGGATAGGAGAATGACCCTGGTTCAATTCCCAGCATGCTGGGTCCCCCACGCCGTGCCAGGAGTGATCCCTAAACAGAGAGCCCAGGGTAAGCCCTGCACTGCCGGGTGTAACCCAAAAACCCCCAAATTGAAAAGCAAAACCAGGCATCACAGGGCTGGAGAGACACACAGTCCAGACATGGGGTAGGCCTTGCACTAGGTGCTGCAAACCACCCTGCTTCAATCCCGTATAATCCCTCCAGCCCGCCAGGAGTGACTCCTGAGTGCAGAGCCAGGAGTAACCCCTGCACTGCTGCTGGGTGTGGCCCTCAGAACACAAAAACAGAAACAAAACAACCCAGGTATCTGCTCCTGACCCTCTCAGCTCCTTGACTAGGCCATGATGCTTAGAAGTGGCCCAATAAAGGGCTGAAGTGATGGTACAGCAGGCAGGGCATTTGAATTTGAGCATGGCCAACCCAGGTTCCATTCCCCGTACCTATATGATCCCCTGACCGGGAGTGAACCCTGAGCACAGAACCAGGAGTCAGTGCTGAGCACATAATAGCAATGCCTTGAGTATCTCGAGGTGTGGGCCCAAAACAAAATCAAAGGGGGCTGGAGCCATAGCACAGCGGGTAGGGCATTTGGCTTGCACGCGGCCAACCCGGGTTCGATTCCCAGCATCCCATATGGTCCCCTGAGCACCGCCAGGAGTAATTCCTGAGTGCAGAGCCAGGAGTAACCCTTGAGCATCAAAAAAAAAAAAGAGAAAAATCTCAACACGAACAGCCACCTCTGTGCCAGCCATTTGGGATCTGGGGTACACAGAGTCCCAGACACTGCAGGGCCTGGTGGGGTGCCTCCACATGGCAGGTGGAGGGCTTCTGGTGGACCCACATCACAGCCCTGAGCCCGGGACAGTGAGCTTGCAGCAGACATCCTGCCTCCCAGACCCCCTTTCGGTCCCCTTCGACCCCCTTCCGGCCCTCTTCCAGACCCCCTTCCAAGCCCAGTGATGGGCGCCCAACAGGGGCTCCAGAAAGCGCCCCTCTGTCACTGAGAAAGGTTTCCTTAGCAGCTTTCCTAAGCCGCTCCTAGTGGGGCGCTGCTCTCAGAATGGGGTGACGAGCATCAAAGACAGACAGTGCCCGCAAGGCACACGAGGTCATGCAGGCGTGGACAAGGTCATGCCCCAACTCAACCCGCCTCCCACCACCACACCCCCTTTCCCGCATACCAGTACTGTAGGCGGGGGAGCTGAGGCTCTCGGAGATGGGGGTCATGGGCGAATGCAGGTCTGGGATCTGGTCCATGCTGAGGGCGCAGTTGCGGATGGGTTCCCGGGGGTGAGGCACGGATGAGCTGTGGAGCAGATCCCCGGGTGAGAAGAGTCGGGCCTGAGAACACCCCCAGGCCCCCAGCAGGAGAGCTGGGAGATAACCCAGCCTGGCTCCCACCATCAGGATGAACACCGAAGTCCAAAGAAGGAAGGGCCGATGGGGCTGGAGCGATAGCACAGCAGATAGGCCTTGCACGCGGCCAACTCAGGTTCGATTCCCAGCATCCCATATGGTCCCCTGAGCACCGCCAGGAGTCATTCCTGAGTGCAGAGCCAGGAGTAACCCCTGAGCATCGCCGGGTGTGACCCCCCAAAAAAAAGCAAAAAAAAAAAGAAGAAGAAGAAAGGACCAAGGGCCGAGCGGATGCCACCTGAGTCCCGTTGGCGTTGGCTTTGATTGGTTCACTCATCATCCATTTATCTGGGGGGGGCTCACGAGCAGTGATCAAGGGGCTCGTGGGGGCCGCTACTCAGGCCCTGCAGTGTTGGGGACCACCAGGGCCACCCCGCAGGGCTTGGGGCTTCTAAGGCTGTTACCTACCCAGGAGCCATGCTGACATCGGGGATCGAACTGAACTAAACTAACTAAACTATCTCCCTGGCCAAGCTTTCTTTTTAAAATTTATTATTATTATTATTATTATTATTATTATTATTATTATTATTATTATAGCACAGCAGTAGGGCGTTTGCCTTGTGCGCAGCCAACACGGCCTAGCTGGGTTCAATTCTTCCACCCCCTTGGAGAGCCCGGCAAGCTACCGAGAGTATCTCTCCCACACGGCAAAGCCTGGCAAGCTCCCCGTGACGTATTCAATATGCCAAACACAGTAACAACAAAATCTCCAATGGAGACGTTACTGGGCCCGCTCGAGCAAATCGATGAACAACGGGAGGACAGTGCTCCGGTGCGACAGTGCTACTTTTTGGTTGGGGGTCATAGCCAGCAGTGCTCAGGGGCTCCCTCATGACTCTGTGCTCAGGGATCACTCCTGGTAGGGCTCGAGGGACCATGCGTGGTACTGGGGGGCAAACCCCAGCTGGTCATGTGCAAGACAAGGGCCCTTCCCACTGTGCTATCTCTCCAGTCTGCCTTCTCTTTTTATTTTTTAAATGATTTTTTTTGGGGGGGGCCACACCCGGCTCCACGCTCAGAAATCAGAAATCACTCCTGGCAGGCTCAGGGAACCATATGGGGTGAAGATTCTTTCCAGCTCTGCTTTCATTTTTTAAATTTTTATCTACTTATTTAGATTTGGGGACCCACACCTGACCATGCTGGGGGGAAGATTTCAGAGCTCAGAGAACCAGGAGGTGCCAGGTAGCAACCCTGGGGCTCCCGCATGCCAAGCACGAGCACTGGTTCTCTGAGTCATCTCTCCCACCCCCGCCATGAGTCACTGCCTCCTCGCTCTCTGGTGAGTGGTCCCTGGAGCGGGGGAGGTGTGGGAAGCCAGACGTAGCCACGCCCCCTGCCCTGCCCCGCCTCCTCCCAGCCGGGCTTGGGAATCTATCCCCTGTGGACCTAACGCTTTGGGTTCCACACTGCAGTCTGAGCAGTCCCAACCAGGAGGGAACAGACCCGAGCCCAGGACCACAGAGAGGGGACCATGAGGGACTGCCCATGTGATGGTGGCATGAATGGCAAATCTCGCAGGCAGTCAGAGATGCCGGAGAAAATGAGTCCAGGGGCTGAGAGGTAGCACAGGGGTGAGGGCGCTTGCCTGGCATGCAGCCACTCCTGGTTCAATCCCCAGCACCCCATTTGGTTCTCAGAGCCCCGCCAAGAGTGATCCCTGAGCACTCCCTGAGCACAGAGCCAGAAGTAGTTCCTGAGTGCCACTGGGCAGTGACATGCACTCCCCCCATTAAAAAAAAAATCAGGATCTGGAGCAATAGTACAGCGGGTAGGGCGTTTGCCTTGCACGCCGCCGACCCAGGTTTGATTCCCAGCATCCCATAGGGTCCCCTGAGCACCTCCAGGAGTAATTCCTGGGTGTAGAACCAGGAGTAACCCCTGTGCATCACTGGGTGTGACCCCCCCAAAAAATCAGGAGGCTGGAGCGATGTACAGCAGGGTACGCCGACCTGGGTTCCAATCCCAGCATCCCATAGGGTCCCCCGAGCACCGCCAGGGGTAATTCCAGAGTGCAAAGCCTGAAGGAACCCCTGTGCATAGCCAGGTGTGACCCAAAAAGAAAAAAAAAATCAGGAGCACAGATTTTGGAGTCACCAGCGATTCGAGCACATGGCTTCCTCTCCAGCCTATTTCCCCATCTGCAGCGAGGGTGAAGACAGGGTCTCCTGCTCCCTGGGGACCCCCCAGAGCAGCTGGCACCCGGCCAGTGTGCAGTGGCGCACGGAGACAATTACCTGCGGTGGTTCCCCCAGGCTCAGAGGCAACCACGTGATATGACAAGACAGCCGAGAACGTCAGTTTCCTGCCCCCACCCCACGTCCCACAAGGCACAACCCACCCCCCCCCACACACACACACACCCTCCCTGCACGCCTGGCTGCGGTGGGCGGGGGCGGGGGCGGGGGTCCCCGCTGACCTGGCCGGGCAGCCTTCGCCGCGGGGGGCCTTATCTGCGGTGAGCCCGTCGGTCATCGTGACGCTGCGCCGCTTCATGTGGCTGCTCTTGGCGCCCGAGGGGCTGGCGGGGCTGGACGCCTTCCCGCCGCCACCGGCGGGGCTCAGGCCATAGCTGGCCTCCAGGTAGCGCAGCGGGAAGGTGCGGTTGACCGGGCAGTAGATGATGGCCCCGCTCTGCTCGGACACGGCCTTGCGGCTGCCCACGTGGTACCGCACGAGCGCAGGCACGTGGTCGAAGCTCTCCTGCTCGAACAGGTACTGGATGTGGGTGTAGCTCTCGCCGGCCTTCACCACCACCTTGTTGATCTTGAAGTGCAGGGCCTGGTTGCGCCAGCGGCACGTGAGCACGTAGTCCCCCAGGCTGGTGAGCGAGTCCCGGATGAGGAAGTCGCCGTTGCGCTGGACCAGGGTCTCCGACACCTGCCAGAGCACCAGGGGGCCGGTGAGGGGCGGAGCGGGTCGGTGGTCTGGGGGGGGGCATGTGCATGCAGGGATCAACTCAGCTGGGAGACAGGATGCACCGGCCAGAGGCCCGGGGCCTGAGGCACGAAGGTGAGAAACCCCGAGGGCATAAGCTTCCGGGGAGCAGAAGTCATGGGGCCCTGGGGCCCGGGAGCCCGAGATCTCTGCATCATCCCACCTCCGTGTCCCGCAGCTCCCCTCCTGTCCTGTCGCTGAGTGCCACGCCCCCTTCTCCAAGCAGCTGCTTTGGGGCCAGAGTGATAGTAGAGGCGGAGGGTGTTTGCCTTGCATGCGGCCAACCCGAGTTGGATCCCCGGTATCCCATAGGGTCCCCCGAACACTGCCAAGAGTGATTCCTGAGGGGCTGGAGCAATAGCACAGCGGGCAGGGCATTTGCCTTGCATGCGGCCAACCCGGGTTCGATTCCTAGCATCCCATATGGTCTACCCCTGAGCACCGCCAGGGGTAATTTCTGAGTGCAGAGCCAGGAGGAACCCCTGTGCATCACCAGGTGTAACCCAAAAAGCCAAAAAAAAAAAAAGTGATTCCTGAGTGCAGAGCCAGGAGTCAGCCCTGAGCATCACCAGGTGTGACCCAAAAAGTGGAAGAAAAAAAAAAAAGCACGTGCCTTGGTGCCGCAAACTGCTTCCTTTGCCCAGAGCCCCCTGCCCACCCTGCCCACCTGGTGAACCCCCTTCACTTTGCCAAAGCTGCAGAACCCGAAGACCCATCCTCACTAACTGAACACACAGCACCTGCCGTATCGTCACTGCGAACAGGAGGGCCGGCTCCTCTGCCGCTCACAGCTCACAGCCTTCCTGCACAGCCGCACACACATGTGTGCAGCTTCATCTGACTCTCAGACCACCCTCGAGGTGGGCATTTCTCGATTCCCCCCTTTTTTTTTTCTTTTTGGGTCATACTCGGCGATGCTCAGGGGTTACTCCTGGCTCTGCACTCAGGAATTACTCCTGGCAGTGCTCGGGTGTCCATAAGGGATGCTGGGAGTCGAACCCGGGTCGACCGTGTACAAGTCAAATGCTCTACCCACTGTACTATCACTCCTGCCTGATTTCCCCCCTTTCCCAGGTTGAGGGGACTGAGTCTCGGAGAACGACAGTAACCATTTCAGGTCCCAGCTAATAAAGGGGCCGAACTGGTCTTCCCGCATCCACCCAGCAGCAGGTTGGTGCTCTCTGGATGGCGGATGGCCGAGGAGGCGGCTGGGAGGGTCTAGAGCGGGGAGACCCCGTCTGGGGCTCGCTCACCTCGCGGGGGATGCGGCCGTGGTACCAGGCATGGCTGCGGAGGTCCGTGCTGCTAAGTTTCAGCTCTTCCTCCAGCTCCTTGTGCAGTTTCTCAGGGGATGAGTCCAAGATGTACTTCTCCTTGGAGAACTGCGCAGGAGACAGGAAGGGCTGGTACCCAACCCAGAACCCCCGCTGCATCCCCTCCCTGACCCCGCCTCCTTCCAGCCCTGGACCCTGGGAACACCCGGGCACGGCTGCCCGAAAAGTCCCCCCAAAAATAGGGTCAGCCCCGAATCCCATCCCAGCAGGAGGAAAGAAACCTCTATTCACTCTTCCAATACAGAGCTCGTGCCATGCGCACGGGAGAATGAGAAATGAGAACTCTACCACGGACCACCCGGGACCACTGTGCATCTTATGAGGGTGGGGGGCGGCGGCTGGAGAATGTGGCGATACAAATTTATACAAAAAAAAAAAAAACAGGTCCTGTCCTCAAGGAGCTCCGAGGCGTTCATGAGCGGCAGAGTCAATGAACCGCGCTTGGGAGCAGCCCACGGTCAGCACCACAGTCCTGGACAGCGGCAAAGGCGCCAAGGAGCCAGCAAAGACCGTTCGGAGGAGGCAAAGACCGTTCTGAGGAGGGGAGCTGGAGGGGGCCCTTCCGGGCAGCTTCCCTGGGAGAGAGCCCCAATAGAGCACGTGCACCCCAGTTACATCAGACCTGACAGTACCCTAGCAGAACGGGGGGAATGGTTTCTACAGGCGGCCAGGCTTCCTGGCCAGAGTCCTCACCCTGCCGTTTGCCTGGCCTCTGCAATTCCCAAGGAGGCTCTCTCTCCCAGGAATGGCCGTGCAGGGAAGCCCCGGGGCATGCTGGGACTCCCTTCCCCTTCCTGTCTATTCCCAGGGCACCATCTCTAGGAATTGGAAGCTGACAGACCCTGGGACCTTGCAGAACAGCGGAAGGGCATTGCCCATGGCCAGGTGTGCCCCCACCAGAGTCCAGCCCCACCATGGCTTGGACCTCAGGACCTCAGTTTCTTCCCCTGTAAAATGGGTTCAATGAGAGGCAGGAATCTGCCTCTCTCTCTGAGGCGAGGAGGGGGGTGGAGATGATGCTGAGGGAACTGTGACCTACACAGAGATGTCCTCATCAGGTGACAGCCAGTGATGACTCCCGCCCTCCCGCACCCCCAAAGATGGCCCTGTCAGGTCAGACAGGCCGTGGGCCTGACAGAGTAAGACAGATGATGGGACTTCTGCCCAGGTGAGTCTCCCCACTCTGCTCCCTGCTACCTCCAACCCGCCACAGATCTCAGCACCCAGCCCCACCACGCCCCAATAGAATATGCCCCCCAGCTTTCTAGACTCTAATGGTTCTTTGTTTTTGGTTGGGTTTGGGTTTGGGTTTGTTGAGACACACTAGTTCTTTATTTTTGTTTGGGTTTTGGGTCACACCCAGCTGTGCTCAGAGCTTACTTGTGGCTCTGATGCTCGGGGATCGCTCCTGGCAAGGCCCCTGGGGCCATAGGGCATGCTAGGATCAAACCTAGGTAAGTGTCCTACCTGCTGTACTATCACTCAGGCTTTTGTTGTTTATTTGGTTTGGGGCCACCAAATAAACAGTGGCCAGTGTGTGCAGTGTGCAGTGCCCAGGGGTTGTTCCAACCCATCCCCTTCTCTCCCCAGCCCCTGGCCATTATTTTACACAAAATCCTCACTGTGGCTGGAACCAGTGCCACGGGCTACGAGTCCAAAGTCATCAGAACAGAGGACAGCTGCCTGTGGGGGCTAGGCGGACGCTGACCAGGTTCTCCTAACATTCTAAGGTGTACAGCAAGGGTGTGTCTGGGACTCCACAGTGCCCCCAACAGAGGGACAGAGGCCCAGGAAAGGTGGTGGGTAGGGGAGACTGTGTCGAGAAGCTTTAAAGGTTCAAAGGGAGGGGCTGGAGCAATGGCACAGCAGGTAGGGCGTTTGCTTTGCACGCGGCCAACCCGGGTTCGATTCCCAGCATTCCATCCCTGAGCACCGCCAGGGGTAATTCCTGAGTGCAGAGCCAGGAGGAACCCCTGTGCATCGCCAGGTGTGACCCAAAAAGCCAAAGAAATAATAATAATAATAAAATAAAGGTTCAAAGGGAATGGGGGGCGGGGTGGGGGGCATTGTGGCAGGGCTGTGAGCCAGCCTTGGAGCTGGCACCCACCCAAAGGCCGCGGAAGGCTCCATCTGCCGTGTGGAGGTGGCCGGGAGTTTTCTCCATAAGTGCCGTTGGGGTGGGGCCGGCGTGGGCGAGGTAGGAGAGGGGGACGTGGGGGAGCTGGAGGTAGGGGCTGAGGGGTCAGCGAGGACCCCTATGTCCACAGGGATCCCGCACGATGTTGTTCTCTGGGGGGGGGCTAGTTGGGGCTGGAGGACTTGAGGATTCGGGAGGCAGATGGCAGGGTCGCATGCAGAGGCAAGGTCCGTTCTGCCCCCCTAAACCCAGGCTGGAGCTGAATAGAGCAGGGCCAGCGCTGACACCCACACTTCTCCAGGTCCCGCCCCCTCAGAACACCACACCCTGGGGAAGGGTGGGCGTCCTAGGGGCAAAAACGTCAGTACCCCAACTTTCTGCCGGTGTCTTCACAAGACCTCCCAGCGCCCTCCCTGCAGCACGGAGAGGTGGGCCCCCTCCCCCGCAAGGCGGGGCTGGGTGGGAAGAAGCCGTGGCCACGCTCTGCCTGCCCTGTGACCTTGAGCCAGTCACTTTCCCTCTCTGGGCCGTCAAAGGGAGAAAGGATGGGGGAGTCTCAGAGCTGGTTTCCTCCAGCCCTCAAGGGCCGGGAGAGACTCGGGGATCAACTTGTTCCTGCCTGCCACACTCTCGAGACGGGGCGACCTTCAGGCCCCTGCGCCCTCCTCCTCACCCTCGACCTGGGGGTCTCGGACTATCAAGTGTTGGGCGGGGGTGCCGGGGTGCGAATGCAGCATCCCTGCGCTCCGCGCCCTGCGATTGGCCAGAGATGATCTCACCGCTCCAGGCCTGCGCGCCCCTGATTGGCTGGCGCGGGGATGCTGCGCTCCGCTGGCGGGCTCGGAGCGTGTGAGATACCGGAGCGCAGAGGTGACGTGCCCGGCTGCCCCTCCAGGAGCCCGGGCGGCCCGGACGCCGAGACCCCCGCCCCGGGTCACGGTCTTCACCCCCTGCCGCCAGCGCGCGCCCAGCAAGCCCCTGTCTCCAGTCTCGCCTCCCCAAGCCAAGAATCCCCCAGATGATGCTCTGCAGAGAGGCGGGGTCGGGTCCTCCCCTCCACCCCCTTCCGTTTAACCCCTTCACCGCCACAGCCCTGTCCCCCAGTGTCCGGCCGGCCCGGCTGAGAGCCCCGTGCCCCCAGCCTGCCCCGAGCTCCCCGAGGTGGCAGGAGAGTGGCGGGCGCCTTGAAACGCCCCCCTCCCGCAAGCGCTGTCCCACGGCAGCAGCCCCTCACTCAGCCTGTGCCCTCCAGCCCAGCGCCCCCCGGTACAATGGGACCAGGCGGCCCGGGGTCAAAGGAAGGCACCGGAGTGCCTGGCCCGGGGTCCGGCGGGTTTGCCAGGAACTCCCGGACCCGCTGTCGCAGCCCCGGCCAGCTCCTCCAGAGCGGAAAGCAGAGCTGCGTGACCTGCCCGGCAGCCCCCCGCTGCTCCCGCACCCCACCCACCCCCGGGTCCCGGGAGCGGCGGAGTCTGCTGCGACCCTCGCCCGGGCGCCCAGAGGTGAGGCCGGGGCGGCCCCGCCCCCTCCCGCCGCCGCCGCCCCTGCCGGGCCCCGGGGCGGGCGCGCACCCCAGCTCCCGAGCCCCGGGGCGCGCCGGGGGTCCCGGAGCCGCCCCCTCACCTGCACCTGCACGAAGGAGCCCCGGTAGAAGCAGCAGGCGGCGGCCGACAGGGCGCTCCACAGGCTGCAGCGCTCCGTCATGGTGCTGCGGGCCGGGCCGGGCCGGGCCGGGCCGGACGGGCCGGGGGCGGCGGCGGGGCAGGGGCGCAGGGACCGACCGGGCTGGGCACCGGCTGCGCGTGCCTCTCGGCGGCGCGATTACCTCATCGCCTGGTCGGGGGAGGAGCGGGGAGGCGGGGCGGGGAGACCCCACCCTCCAGCCGGCCCGGGGACGGGAGGGGAGGGGGCTATTGTTCCTCCCTCCGCCCGCCCCCCGCGCCCCGCGCCCCGCGGCCCCCGCGCGGGCGCACCCCGGCCGCCCGAGTCGGGAAAGGAGCTGCCCCGAGGGGCGTCACGGGGGGGAGCAGGGGGGACCCCGGGGCCGGCTGGGGAAGCCCCGCGCGGGGTCTGGGCTTCGGTCACTCCCTCGCTGACCCCCCAGCCGGGCAGAGACTTTGCATTCAATCACGTCCCCAGCGGGTGCCACCTCCCCGCGTCGCCTCTGCCCAGACCCTTTGTGGCCTCGGGATGCTCCAGGCGCGCCCGGAGCTCCAGTTCGTTCGTTCGTCCTGGGCTCCGCTGGGAATTCGCTGGGACTCCGAGAGCTCGGGGGTCGCGGGGTCAGTCAGGCGCAGCGGGTAGGGCACTAATCCGAGTTCACGGAGAGGGGAGCCCCCCGCCCCATCCCCACCGCCCCGCCGGCTCGTCCTGGAGCGGACAGCGGCACTCCTGACCACCAGCTGTCAGGGGCCAGGCTGAGCCCAGGCGTGGAAGCCGAGGGGCACAGAGTGACGGTTCCAGAAATCCGTGATTTTCCCTTTCCCTTTGGGATGCCGGGGGAACATACTCCCGGGCCACTGAGCTCTGGGCCCCTCCTCCCAGCATCTTCACGCTGTCTTCAACACCTGGACTTCGGGGTCTTAGGAGAATCTGACTCCGCATAGTTCCACCTAGGGTTCACAGTTGGGACCAGAGCCCTGGAACAGCCGGCGGGGAGGGTGCTTGCCACCACGCACTCCAGTCAACCTGGGTTCTATTCCCAGCCACCCCTAGGGTCCCCCAAGCACTGCCAGGAGTGATGCCTGAGAGTAGAGCCAGGATTAAGCCCTGAGCACAGCCGGCGCGCTCACCCGCAACACCATCACCAACACCACACACCCCCCCGCGGAAAATAAAAAAGAGGTTAACAATCTATTGACAGGCTGTGTGACCTCAGGCCCTTGAAACAGCCTCTCTGTGGGTCTCTGTTTTGGCTTTTTTTTTTTTTTCTGAAATCGCAGGTGAAACTCTGAGGATGAGAGCTTGGAATTTGTTCACGATCCCCCCCCCAACCCTTACCCCAGCCTGGCCCCACCCCTGGCCCTGGAGGTGAGCACCTCAGGGTGGGAAGGAACTGGAACACTACAATCCCCCCTCATCTGAGGCCAGAAACGAACACAGGCACCCTGAAGTTCCTCCTCTCAGGCTTGTGGAGGCCGACCTGGAGAGCAGGTCGTGGTTTTTTTTTTTTGACAGTACTTAATTTTTTTTTTTTTTTTGCTTTTTGGGTCACACCTGGCGATGCTCAGGGGTTCCTCCTGGCTTTGCACTCAGGAATCACTCCTGGCGGTGCTCAGGGGACCCTATGGGATGCTGGGAATCGAACCCGGCTCAGCCGCGTGCAATCAAACGCCCTACCCGCTATGCTATTGCTCCAGCCCCACTTTCTAATTTCTTATCCCCTAAGCGATAGCACAGCGGTAGAGCGTCTGCCTTGCATGCCGCCGGCCCGGCCGACCTGGGTTCAATTCCTCCGCCCCTCTCGGAGAGCCCGGCAAGTTACCAAGAGAGTATCTCAATATGCCAAACACAGTCACAACAAGTCTCACAATGGAGACGTTACTGGGCCTGCTCGAGCAAATCGATGAACAATGGGAGGACAGTGACAGCGCTAAGCTAAAAGGAAAACTCCAGCTAGAAGTCCTCATAAGGCAGCACAGCAGGGAAAGGCGTTTGCCTTGCACACGGCCGACCTGGGTTCAACCCCCAGCATCCCATAGGGTCCCCCAGGCACCGCCAGGAATGACCCATGAGTGCAGAGCCAGGAGTAAACCCTGAGTACCACTAGATTTGGCCCTCCCCTGCCCCCCTCCAAAAAAAAAAAAGTCCTCCCAGGGATCTCATCTCATGCCATCCATGATCTCAGGGATCTCAGGACTTTGCCAGGCAGCTGGATCTGTGGGATGCTGAAACATGAGCCTCGGGGCCCACCCCAGCACTCACCCCTACTCCACCTCTGCCCCCCTCCTTGACAGGGAGCACAAGCTCCCGTTCAACTGGCTGAGCCTGGGCCACATGCTGGGGTTCCCCCACCTCATCCCAGTCTCCCTCCAGCTGAGAGAAGATGCTGGTGAACTTGCTGATGAAGCGAACTGACAGGGCCTTTTCCTCCAGGAAGCCTTCCTGGATTGAGAGCCGAGTCCCAAAACTCCTTAGTGAAGCTTTCTGGTGGTGGGGGTGGGGGTGGGGCAGGGATGGGAGGGCTCTCCCGGTGCCTCACAGGCAGTGTCTGTGGGGCAGGATGTCAGAGGGTCAGAAGCCAGACCCGCCTGCTCTGCACGGGGAGGGGGGGGGGCAACTCCCTCCCCACCTCCGTGAGATCACAGTAACCTGAGCTGGGGGCCCTGCTCTTAGCTCATTGAACACGGAGGCCCACGCAGGTCACATACACGCTAACGTCATGTGGTGAATAAATGGCAGGTCTGGGGCTTGGGAGATAGAATCAGAATTAGGGGCAAGCCTGGCGTGCACCGACCTGGGTTCAAGCCCCAGCAGCACGTGTAGTCCGAGAACCCCCTGACCACAGGCCCCCACAGCACTGCAGCCTCAGGCCCTAGAGTGAATCACCAGCCCTGTTGGCCACGTACCCCTGAGAGTGGCCCCTGGATCCCACGAGCACTGGTTGGGAGGCACCCCAAATAAACATGCTCGAATTTCATCTAATCTAGAACTGCTGGAGTGGAGGATTGAGGCCCCCGCTCCCCGTGGTACACACACACACACACACACACACACACACACACACACACACACACTTAGCCCTAGCCAGCTATGGGTTCAATCGCTGGCAGGACATACCCCCCAACACCACCAGATGGCAGCACCACGAGTCCTAAGCACAAAAGAATGACTTCTGGCCCCTGAGTACTACCAGGTGTGGACTTCCCAGCTATAAAAAATAAAACTAGGGGCTGGAGCGATTGCACAACAAGTAGTGCATTTGCCAGGTACGTGGCCAACCCAGGTTCGATTCCCAGCATCCTATATGGTCCCCTAAGCACCGCCAGAACTAATTCCTGAGTGCATGAGCCAGGAGTAACCCCTGTGCATCGCCAGATGTGACACAATAAAATGAACAGCACTGTCTTCCCATTGTTCATCGATTTGCTCGAGTGGGCACCAGTAACGTCTCTATTGTGAGACTTGTTACTGTTTCTGGCATATCGAATACTTCACGGGGAGCTTGCCAGGCTTTGCCGTGCGGGCGCGATACTCTCGGTAGTTTGCCGGGCTCTCCGAGAGGGGCGGAGGAACCAAACCAGGTCGGCCCAGGTCGGCCGCGTGCAAGGCAAACACCCTACCCCTCCAGCCCCAAATAAAATGAATATTAAAAATATTTATTTTTTTATATTTATATATAAAGTCTTGCCCCTAAATAAATACATAAATAAATAAAACCATTCATTCATTCACATTTGGGTCCGGGGCCAGACAGATAGTATAGGGGTTAAGTTCCTTATCTTGCTCTATTCCTGATACCACATAAGGGCCCAGAGTTATCCCTGAGCACAGAAGTAGGAGACAGGCCTGAGCACTGCTAGGTGTGGCCCAAAAATTAAAATTAAAAAAAAAAAAAGGATCTGCTGGAAATGTCCAGCTATGTATGGCTCTGCCTGGGTCCCACTGGCACGGGAGATTCTGAAAAATAGGGTCTGGCTCGGGGGTGCTGGGGGTATCTGGGAGGGGAAAGACCAAATGAATTCAAGGTGGGGCACTGGGATTTGGCTCAGTGGTATAGCACATGTGCACTTCCCAAACACTTTGTTTATTTTCTGGGGGGGAGGATCACACCCAGAGATGCACAGGGGTTCCTCCTGGCTCTGCACTCAGGAATTACTCCTGGCGGTGCTCAGGGCACCACATGGGATGCTGGGAATCGAACCCGGGTCGGCCGTGTGCAAGGCAAACGTCCTCCCCGCTGTGCTATTGCTCCAGCCCCTTCCCAATACTTTAAATTTAATTTTAGAAAAAGAAATGAAGGAGCCAGAGCAATCGCACAGTGGTAGGGAGCTTGCCTTACACACATCTGACCTGGGTTTAGTCCCTGGCACCCCCTATAGTCCCCAGCACCCCATGGGGTCCCCTGAGTCACACCAGAAGTGAACCCTAAGTACAGAGCCAGGAGCAAGTCCGGAACATCGCTGAGTGTGCCCCTACCACACCCTCCCTCCCTTTTTTTTTTTTTTGCAAAAATTGAAAAAAAGAAAAAGAAAGTTGATGAAAACCAGGTCACAGTCCCCACTCTGCCCTCCAGTTGTTGTGTGACCACCAGGGCCCCAACACCGCACATCTCTGGGCCTTGTTTCCTGTCAATTAAAGAGCAGAAGGTCTCTGCTGTCCATTGAGACATGTATGGAGGAGAACAATAGGGCTGGGGATGTGACTCAGAATAGAGCACCCCCCTGGGGCTGGAGCAGTCGCACAGCAGGTAGGGCGTTTGCCTTGCACGTGGCCGACCCGGGTTCGATTCCCAGCATCCCATAGGGTCCCCTGAGCACCGCCAGGGGTAATTCCTGAGTGCGGAGCCAGGAGTAACCCCTGTGCATCGCCGGGTGTGACCCAAAAAGCAAACAACAAACAAGCAAACAAAAACCAGAAGAGAGCACCCCTATGTGGAGGACCTACCTGGGTTTGATCCCCAGTGGCGCTAAAAAAAAAAAAAAAAAAAAAGCACAAAATCCTATTCTTTCCAGGGCCAGCAGCCAGCCAGGGCTCTGCGCCCAGTAAGGCGTCCACATCCTCTATTTTGTTTTATTTTTGTTTGGGGACCACACCCAGCGAAGCTCAGGCTCTGCACTCCTGGAGGGCTCCGGGGACCATATAGGGGTACCCAG